TTTTTTTTTTTTTTTTTTTTTGGTTTTTCGAGACAGAGTTTCTCTGTGGTTTTGGAGTCTGTTCTGGAACTAGCTCTCTCTCTCCCTCTGGGCACTGGACAGGTACTGTGGAACACACCGAATTCTAACACATAGAAAACAGAATTGGGAGGATCAGGAATTTAAAGTCATTCTAGGCAACATAGTGAGTTTGAGACCAGCCTGGCTACAAGAGATAGTTTTGCCTCAACAAATAAGCGACTAAAAAACCCAAACAGCACCCCCACCCCAATGGAGACACTGCTGCCAGGGAAGGAATGGGTTCTACCCAGTATGGATGACTCTTCTTGCAATGAGCATCCACACCGGTGGGTCTGCACACTGCTTGATTTTTACCTTGGAAGAGGACAGAAAAGATAAGGGGCTGCTGGGTGAGGTGGATAAAATCTGTTAACACTCTGGCCAGGCAGAAGCCTGGAAGGTCAGGAGAATGCCGGACAGCTGCCTGAGAAGTCGGAACTGATTGCGCCACCACCGCCCGGCTGGAAGATTTCTTTTACACGAGCTTAGAAAGCAGCAGTCACGCATGCTCAGTAGAAACAAGAGCTATGATGGTAACAGGGCGGTGCTGCTCAGGACCAGCTGACCCCTGCGTGGGCAATCACAGGAGAGGGAGAAGGAGGCCTAAAGAATAGCTCTAAAATCTTGGCTTAGGTGCGACTTGGAGAATCACCTTTGTTAATCAGTGGGAGTTGCCCAGGTCTTTCAAACTGAGGGTTGGGAGAGAACATAAAGATCTCTGTGAGTACCCAGTATGCTAACTGTTTGGCTATTCTTCACATTAGGTTTTTGGAAGTGAGTCCCGCGTAACCCAGACTGGCCTTGAACTTGTTATATACTTGGGGACAACCTTGAACTTCTGATTCTCTTGCCTTCACCTTCCAAATGCTGATATTATAAGTGTGTACCACTATGCACACACACACACACTCACCTATGTGTGTATATATACACACACACACACACATACATATATATACTCAAACATACATGTATGGTTATAAAGTATGGTTATAAAGATTGTGATTGATACTAGTGACTAGTGACGCAGAGAATATTAAAGCATGACTGAAGTCACAACACACACACACACACACACGCAGACACACCCATCAGTCGTATGTATGTGTGAGTGTGGTAGGGTCCCTTAAGAGTTCAGCAGAAAATGGCTATGGTGGTGCATGCCTGCAGGGCCAGCACAGTTTCTTGAGTTTCTTGTCAGTGTGGGCTACAAACTTAAGACAGAAGTTTTGGAAACAGAAGGGCGAGGACCCTGGTCTGGTCCGGCGTGTCCTTAGTTCTTTGTTCACTTTCCTGTGTCTTTACGGCTTCAGATGTTTATGTGTCTAAAACACTGAATGCTCCTGTAGAAATGGCACATGTCTTTCACTTTTTCCAGATCTGGTGAGAGAAAATTGACATATAATTACATATATGGAGTACACGATTTGATGGCTTAATAGGAAAATTTCTTTTTTAAGAAATCCCTGGATCCGGGAGAACCGATGTGCAGTGTTGCAGCTGTAGAAAACAATGCTGTGTTTTATTGGGTGCTTGACATCTGCTGGGAGAGTGGATCTTAACCTAAACAAAATGAAGGACAAAAGGCAAAACTCTAAGGCTATTTCAAGATTGGAATTTGAAGAGTTTACATGTGTTTTCTCTTGGAAGATGAGAACACAAGCAGCAGGCAGACGCAGAGGACGTGTTTTGAATGTTTGCTGTGCTGGGGAAGCTGTGGACAAAGGCAAGCTGACTCATCTTCGAGTGGACTGGGATTGGTCCTTGTGACTAATAATGTACTTATGTTCTCCCTCATGGCTGGCTTGTCCCTCTCCTTCCTGGATCAGCATGACTTTATCCCCTCTTAGTATTTAAGAATGTCACTGTATATATTTTTATGATGGCTTCTTTCATTTATATTGTTAATTTTACATTATTAAATTTCAGTTAAAACTACCCTTTCACCCTTTCCCCTTATTCCTGTATATTCAATGATTATCAATCTATCTATCAATCGTCTATCTATCTGTCTATCTTATCGATTATCTATCCGTCTGTCCTATCATCTATCTATCTATCTATCTATCTATCTATCTATCTATCATCTTTTATTATCTATCTGCCATCTATCTATTCTATGATTCATTTTCTTCCTTTGTGGCCAATTTCTGAGTTTTCATCCTTGGGAAGAATGCTGTGATCTACAGTGCCATGGAACATGTGATCCCCTGCTCTAGGAATTATTCTTCTGACAGCAGGCAGCTCAGTATCTCTGGATGTTATATTCCCATCCTCTCTACCATGAACTCAGCATGAGCTCCGGAGTTGAGCATATGACCTAGGCACAGTTAGTAGTCATTTCCCAGCCATAGGACGGGCTCAGTGATGGGCATGTGATCCACGCACACCCAATGGCGAGCCTGGAGGGTTGAGCTGCGGCTTTACTTCTGAGAGACTGACATTTTGTCCTAGAAGGGTTTTCCAAATAAGACATCTTAAAATTACTACTGGAAAAACCATCTTGTCCCCATAGGGTGCCTCAGAGTGACACCCATAAGGAAATCAGAATGGAACCAAAAGACAGAAGCAATAGAAAAACAAAGCAAGGTGAGTTCTGGCAAGTTTATTGGAGCTCTATATCAGCCTTTTCTGCACCTGGTCATTTCATTTGTTGAATTAGTCCCGTACCACTCCATATAAGCACATGCAAACACCCATCCGTAGATGTGCGCGCGCGCACACACACACACTCTCTCTCTCTCTCTCTCTCTCTCTCTCTCTCTCTCTCTCTCTCTCTCACACGTACACACACACACACCGTTCACTTTTGGGTCTGTTTTCACTCATTGTACAAGTATCTAGAAGGAGCCTGCTATTTTGTATTCGTCTGTTCTCGACTCCTCCATGAGTTCTTAGACTATAACACATATATGGAGTGAGTATTCACTGGTATGTACGAGGCCCCATCTTGCAGACTTTAAATAGGTGTCAAGGGTTGTGTGAAGTAGTTCCTGTAACACCCGTCCATTTTTCATGGCGCCAAACTGAAGAGCGACCTGAACAAAACATAAAATCTCTTATGTGATCAGTAAACGCTGAAGATTTGGGCCTTCGTCTTTAATTCCAGAGTCAAGGCGATATTACAACTCACTGTTTTGAGACTATTTATTTATAGTTTTTTGGTGTGTATTGTGTGAGTGTGTGTGATGTATGTGTGTGACTCACACTTGTGAATGTGCAGGTATGTGCTTGGAAGGCAGAGAAAGATGTCAGGTGTCTTCGTCTACCTCCCCCACTTTATTGCCTTGAGACAAGGTCTCCCACTGAAGGGGGAGCTCATTGTTTCAGCCAGCCTGGCTGACCAGTGAGCTCTTGCGACCTGCCTGTCTCTGCCCCCGATGTTGGGGTCCCAAACATACAGAGCCACACCCCCAGTTTTCCCCTTCAGTGCTGGAGAGTCAAGCTCAGGTTCTCGTGCACAAGGAACAGATGCACTATCCCTGAGCCAACACTTCAGACCCCTCGTTGTGACTCTGAATTATCTTCATTCATTCTAAAAGTCCAAAATGTACTTGGTGGGGCATCAGAAAGCCCTGTAGTCTCAGTGGCAGACGACACCTGTAACCTTAATAGCACACACCTGTAATCTCAGTGACACGCACCTGTAGTCTCAGTGGCACACACCTGTAATCCTAGCCGCACACAATTTGGAGGTGGAGGCAAGAGGTCAGAAGTTGAAAGTCATTTTTATCTGCATAGTGAGTTTGAAGCCAGTCAGAGTCACATGACCCCCCCAGACCACCCCCCCCCCCAAGTTATTTCTAAAGCAGAATTTATTTTCTTTCATTTCAAAACTTTCCCTGTTGGGATGTGGGAGTATCTCAGTATCTGGGAGACAGAGGCGGGTAGATCTGTTAGTTAGATGCCAGCCAGGTCTACATGGGGCAGATCCAGTTCATTCAGAGCTGCATAGCAAGACTCTGTTTCAAAAAATTCCAACCCCCCAAACCCAAACTAAAACCAACCAACCAACCGACCAACCAAACAAACAAACAGAATTCCCCTTAGCCATCTCTATCTCGCCTCGCAGTATTGCTCTGTCTTCTGTTGTCTACGTTGGAAACATCAGAGTCTTCTTGGCTCTTCCTCCGCTCTCCCTTTCTTGTAGATCCAGCTCACAGTTCTGCTTGTCACCATGATACTGCCAGCCTGGTGCTGGGTGCATGGGAGAGGAAGGTCTGGCTGAGCAGCTGTCACCAGGGCAGTAGCCCTGGAGCCCTGGGGCTGTGATGCCTACCTCTTCTAGAAAAGGAGTTGGGTGGCCAAGAGCTAAGATGGAAAATTTGTTTTGGCAGCCTGTCCTGCCCATAGCCATAATCCTGCCAGAGCCAACAGGCACAGCTTTCTGTCCTTTCTTCTCATCTCTAGTCTTACATATAAGATCGGCCACAGCATGGTGGAGTAGTTCTGGAGGAGAAGGCAACCATTACTGTTTTGTTGTTGTCGTTGCTGTTATTGCACTGGGGTTTGAACCTTCATCCTACAGCATGGCACTACACCACTGAGTTATACTCCCGTGCTCCCCCTCTTTTGGTTTTTGATATACAGTCTTACCATATAAGACCCAGGAAGGCCTTGAGCTCACTATATACCCCAGGCTGGCCCTGATCTCAAGGCAATTCTCCTGTCTCAGCTTCCTGAGTGCTGGAATTATAGGCGCCTGTACTACAACGCTTGGCCTGAGGTTCAGAAATGGTTTCAATAAGTTGCCCAGCCTGGCCTTGAACTCAGGGTCTTTCTGCCTCAGTCTCTTGAGTAGCTAGCACTATAGGCGTGTGTCATTGTGCCCAGCCCATTTGTACTTCTTGAAGAGTTATTTTGTCATCTTCTTATGGGCAAAACTATTTTTCAAAAGTGTTTGAAACATTCAAAATGGTACAGGCCTGTAATCCCAGGTCCTTGGGTAACTGAGGCAGGAGGTTTAGTGTACATAGGCTACAGCTACAGGGAAGGCTTTAGGCCAGCCTGTGTAATTCCGTAAGACCCCATATCTCAAAAAAGAAAAAAAAAAGACGAAAGAAAGGAAGGAAGGAAAAAAGGAAGAAGGGAGTGTAGCTCAGCGGCAGTGAGCTACTTAGTTCAAGGTCTTGGGTTCAATCCGTAGATGTGAAAAAGGATGATTTTAATTGAGGGTTTGAATCTGCTAGACTATATTAAGAGTGCACCACACAGTCACACACAAGTATCCTGGAACTTTTTAGCCAGGCACACTGGCTTCTGTTTGGTATACAGTAAAGCCACCACAGAAGTTGGAAGTCACAAAAGACTCTTAGTTTTCCTTTCACCATGTTCCAAAGACAACTTATCTTTCCTGCTCAGTCACAGGAAGGGAGCCAAGAGAAGGGAGCTTCGAGCTAGCACTTTGGTCTTCCAGGCCTCTGGAGTGAGGAAACCCTCCCCTCCACTGGAACCAGAGCTGGGTGGATCTCAGGTGCGAGGATTCTACCTAAGTAGACACCTTGTCTGCAGGATAGAGGGTAGATTTCAGTTCTGGCTTGCTCCTTGGGCCAAGTGCCTTAGTCCAACGCAGGAAAAGTCCACGGGCTCTGCTATTTCTTCCCGGTTTTAGCTATTACCCTGCCATAAGTAAGTTGTGGGATTTCCCCTCTGCTCAAGGTTTCTGCAACATTGAAGGATAAGCCCTGTTTCCGAAGCTAGGTACCAGGGCAGCAGTCTGGCCTCTTTCTTAGTCAAACCACCTCTTCTCTGTAGGTTTGGAAGCTGGAGATTTTCTAAGCCCCTCCTGGATGGAAAAGCCTTGGGTGCTACTCTGCTTCAGAAAGCCTCTGGTGCAGGATCTTCAGGCTTTGCAGTGGGGTTTGCTTTTAACAGTCTGCCACTCTCTTCCCCCGTATTGAAACCCAGTCAATTAGGCAATTCCTCTGCTTTTTCATTTTGCTCTATTTGCCAAATGGAGATAAGAGATGCCTTAGAGGGGTCTGGGAGCGTAAACTAATTAATGGTCATAAAGTCCCAGTGACCATGTGCCCGCTAAGTGATCATGACTCTGAATAGATCTTTGGGGGCTTCTCGGCTGCTATTTCCTGAGCACCAGACAGCATTTTAGCATCATTTATAATCTTCCTCTCTTTCTCTCCCTTCCTTTCTTCATCTCTCTCTCTCTCTCTCTCTCTCTCTCTCTCTCTCTCTCTCTCTCCCCCCCTCTTTCTCTCTCTCTCTCTCTCTCTCTCTCTCTCTCTCTCTCTCTCTCTCTCTCCCTCCCTCCTTCCCTCCCTCCCTTCCTTCCTATCATCCCCCTCCTTTCTTTCTTCCATCAGACAGAGCATCTAGGCTCAAAGGATGATGCGTACCCGTAGTGAGGACCAGACACTGGCTGGGCGTAATCGGAGATGGACTGAAAGCATGAGCTGAGGGAAGAAGCATAGGACGGACGTCTATGGAATAGAGATCAGGAGGGCAGAGTTACCGGAAGTCGGTAGTATTAGGCAGTGGCAGAAGCTTAGCCCAAGGCTAGCAGAGGCACACTCTGCCTGTTGTGATCCTCCTGGTTTAGGGGTCCTTGTTCTCTCCTCTTACTTACCAATGTGAGGGAAAGGTAGGATCACAGCTGTCGAGAAGTCAAAATACACTTTCTTTAGTGTTCTTGCTGTGGCACTGAAGGTCCGGACCAACTCATTAAAAGTATCTATTTACTGTTTTGCTTCTTAATCTAAGCCGTGCCCTGGGTAGTCCACGACTCCAGATCCTGGATAGAATGCAGGGAGGCGGAGAGCATGGCTCCGTGGGTAGAAACACTTGACATCCAAGCCTGAGGACCCGAGTTTAAGTTTCCAGGTCCCAAGAACTGAAAGCTGGGTGTGGCCTCACTTGTCTGCAACCCCAAAGTTTGAGGGCAGGGACAGGTAAAGAAGATGCTGGAGATTTTGGGTAGGCCA